AGATATCAGAACCCAATCAACTGGGCTCTGATTATCAATTCATAAAATGCAACTTTTCATGCATTGAATATACAGTACAATAATTTTGATTGAAATGATGCTATCATTAAGTTATGTAAAGTTTTTCAAATATAATTTTTGTTGCTTATATATTAACATAAGTTACAAGAAATTAGCATAAAATCTTGTTTAAAAGCATTTAAATCAAATATATGAATGTTTACAGAAATAAAATTACAATTTTTTATTCTTCAAACAGTAGATAATGAGAGAGAATTGGCGGAGATGTCGATGTTGTCAATGCCATTACCGCCGCCGTCGCCCTTTCAGAACAGCAATCACGAAGAGAACAGCTCTTTGCATGACTGCAATGAGGGTCAACCCATTGACGAGTGTTGTTATGAAATTAGCGATAATTTTAAGGACAAACACATATCCAGTGAACAATTGATCGAACGTTTAGAAAGTTTGCAAACGAAAAATGAAACAAATGGTGAGACAATAGAAACAAGTGATGGCCATAAAGAAAGGGAAAGCGAAACCACTTCTCGATTGGTTGTGTCCGATGAGGAGTCACTCGACAAAGAAATTGAGGTAACTTTGCAGTCGTTAAATGACGAGTTGGATCGACTCGATTCAGTCGATCACATCGAGAGCCAACTGTCGGCCGACGAACACTCATTGCATTCCCATCGCATTGATCTGAACAATGGTTTGCAAACTAATGATTCAGACAATGCTAACGATTGTAATAACAGTGTTGTCAGAGAGACAAAGGATGCGATAAACAATGCGACAAAGAATATCTCAGTTGTGGTAAAACAAATAACTGGCAATAATAGTGATGTCGAGGCAACCAAAAGCCAATTGGAAAGCAGACAATCGCCGGCGCCGTCGCCAACGCCAAGAGTTATATCACTCGACAATAAAAGTAAATCAATTTTGAGTGACAAAAGTGATGCAGAACTCAAAGTTAGCGCAAACGGCAAAACCACAGTTTTCATCAATAAGAGTCAAACAAGTGTAACGCCGCCGCCTTTCTCTTCATTGCCGTCGTCTTCTGCCTCTTCTTCTATATCTATGTCTCCGAGTCCTACAAACGAAGACAAGCTGTCGATCACCGACGAAGTGAGACAGTCCTGTCGGCCGCGCGTAAGGCTTACAAACTTTTCAATTGGTTCCTATAAGAAAGAAGTGGACATTTTTGAGGACACCCATAAAATCTCGAGATCAGGCGCACCCACGACCGCACCTCCACTCAAATCTGGCTCGAAGTCAATCGTGACGTTCCCCTCTGCGAAGAAAGAAGAAAAAATGAGGCCTTCTATCAATCAAAACAAATCAAAGGTTAGCATAACATCCACTTCGACCACAGTTTCCACCCCAGCTGTTCCCAAGCCATCCACACCTGTAATACAAACGCTTATTACAAGTGCACCAAAAATCAGTCGAATTCAGTCATGGAGTGGACAGAAAAATGTCGTTTTTGATGATAAAAATATCAAACAACCCCTTAAGACAACTGAACGGTATGTCTCGCAGATAGCCATCAATAAAGACGTGAGTGTGAGCCCAACGCCAAGTAAAAAGTCGAATGAAGACTTACGATCGCCTCAACTGGTCGTCCAATCGTTGATTGCGAAAACAGAGGGCCGACTAAATAACAGGTCTCCGTCTCCTAAACTAATGCCACCGAAAGCCGAACCAATGAATGAATCCAAAGTGGAGCCAATGAAAGAGCGAACGACTATTTCCATAAAACCCGGTTCACAGTCTGTCATTCGGTTTAATACTAATCCTAAACTTAATTTGGAAAACATTAATAACGAGATTAATTCAAAACAAAGTGTTACACAAAGTTTTAGCAAACCATCAGATTTTAAATTAAAACATAACAATAATAACAGCAATCAAACAATTGAATCAAAGAAAGTCTTGGTTGAGAAGAGTCCGACGCCATCATCATCACCAGTGCCACCGCCAGTGCCCCCACCAGTGCCCCCACCAATGCCACAACAAGTGCTCCCACCAGCGCCTCCGCCTATACCACCACCAGTTCCGCAGAATATTCCTTTGAATACCACTAATAGTTTGCCGAGAAGTGGTGTCAATACGAAAATATTTCACACAAAGGGCTGGAATAGTGTTAAAGCCGTCGGAAGCGGTGAAGTGCCAAAAGTAAAACACGTGGATCCGCCCAATCAGGCCAATGTCAGGGATCAACTGCTCAATGATATTAAAAATTTCGGTGGAAAAAACACACTTAAAAAGGTCTGTATTTGTAATCTATATTATATTGGATTTGACAGCGTTTTAATGGTTTGTTTGTGATTATAGGTATCGAAAAACACTTCGTGGAAACTGGAGGTGAATACTGTCAAAACGTAGCGACAAAAACACACTTTTACTTCCCGTTAATTTTTAATCGTTTAGTTTTTAATATTTCTAAATAACAGAATTTCTTAAAAATATATATATTTATCAAATTAATTAATTAATGTTCCGAAATAAATGTCATTTATTTTCAATTTGCTTTTAACTGTAAATGTTTTAAATCTAATTTGTGTCGATGTTTGGGATCTATGAAACACTCGATGAATAGTCTAATAGCGGTGGCGAATGAGTCCTTATTCGGTATTTTGGATAATATTTGTTGAATGAGTGACTCGTCGTCGAGAATAGGCTTCAAAATACGGCGAATAAAGCGAACGAAAGTCTCGTTCATATCCGTGAAGTGGACCACCTGTTCATCAATTGTTACAAATGTCTCATTAAAGGCACGAATGGTTTGAATGAATGATCAATGAATCGTTTGTTTACCTTCAAGCAAGTGATTGGAAGCGCATTCAACTTCAGTAAATCCAATACGAGTTGAGACAAAACCAACTGTTGGTTCGCTTCCAGTGATTCCAATTCTGATATCTTGTCGCGAATCGAAAAGTTGAGAGCAATCTGTTTAACAAACAAACATATAATCAACGAATACTACAAAAATCAACACTTAATTGATTACTGGTTTTCACTAACTTTATATTTTCGGTCACATTTACTCAAGTGTTGAAACAAATGAGTATAAAATGGATTGAAATGTTTCTCATGTATGGAGACATGAATTAATACATTAGTCACTTCCGAGAACTGCTTTTTGCCGATTGATATTAAACGTTGTGAGGCATCGATGTAGTCATTAGCAGACAAGAGAGCCATAACTAAACTTCTTCGCAATGGTGTGTTCAGTCGTAGTGTTTTCATGAGTTGTTCATTACAGTCATCGCCGGCAGAAGTGTTTGCATTCATGAGATTTGTTTGTCTTTTGTCTGAATTAATTGCCTCAAAGTTTTGTGTGAATGAATACCAGTGAGAACTATGAAGAATAGCTTCATAACTGCCCGAAATGCTATTCACTCTCGACTTCTTGACAGTGCTTTTCAATGTGTTTTCAATGAGTTTGACGTCCACTTCAATGCCATAACCTTTGAATTTAGTCATATTGTTATTCTTGATCGCAATCAACGAATCCAACAAAAATGTAATTCGGTTTCCACTTAAACTATTTTTGTCCACATTTTTCGCCTCATTCTGTATCCTAAGTATGAGTTCTTTCATTTTAATGGCACTGTCTTTACGTAACGTAAATCCAACGGATTTCAGTATTAAATTAATTAATTCAATGCATTTCTCATTAAAATTATCACATAATTTGGTTAGGATTTCGTAGACAAGTGTCAAATCAATTAAACCGCAAACATATAAATTAATTATAACTAAAAGTAAATTATCGATTCGTTTCGAGTCGTCGTTTGATATTTGTTGCAATAAATCATCAAATATGACAATTAATGAGTGGATGGCGTGTCCGCCAACTTCTTCGCCGATAACAGTGTGAAGAATCGCAATCAGAATCGAGATCTCAGTCGTCAGCTTTTGTGATGAATTAAACTCCAAATCAATTAACGAACTCTTAATGCATGTAAAGAGAGCTTCATTTACATCATGTCTACTATTTTGTTCATACATTTGTCTTATTTGGGAACTAATTGTCAT